GCCAGGTGGATCTGCTGTGTCAGTCCTGGAAAGCCGGCCTCTGTACCTGTGGTTATGTAAGCAAATAGTCCACTCTTTGGAAAAGCCATTGTAGTCATTTTGCTGTCACCTGGAACCAAACACAATCCTGGGTGATAGGATCCAAGCTGGGAGAATTTTATCAAGTTCCTTAACCTCTCTTAAGCTTCGGCTTCCTTATCTATATAAAGGGAATAAGATAATATTCGCTCCCCCAGTACACTACCCACCATGCACAGGCACCACGCGGATGTTTAGCATGTGCCACCCATGAATTGAGAAAGTGACTGTTGTATGCATCAGGCAGAGGCAGTGCATTCAATAACAACTGCTAAGGCTACCCCACAGGACTTCTGAATCAGATGCGACCACACAGGAGATTCCTTAGTCATGTAAACACTTACATGCACGCTTACCAAAGCCCACGTTCCCTGGCGTGCTGCGCAGAGTTGCAACCAACAGGCCCTACTCTGAAAGCAGGAAGTAAGCTCCTGCGACTCATGCCTTCCACCCCCCTCAGAGGGAAGGAGCAAATTAAAAGGGATTTCAACACACTGTGCCAAATAGAGAGCAGCCAAGTGGCCACAGGTGAAACCAGGCCCTGCCAGATGACTCCACTTGAAGCATCCTTCAGAAGTGAGATCCTGCTTATCAAAGAGCTTGTGTTTTTTTAAAAAAGAAAAAAGGTCCTAAGTGTATCTCCTGGCCCAGAGGAGACCCTGGGACAGAGAGCTCGTCCTTGGTTGGGCGCCTTCCCTCCACTCACACTCCAGCACCTTGAGCCTGCACGCAGTCAGGACTTCTCCAGCACCAGCGCCCACCACCAGAAACCCAGAGCATCTCATGCTACGGGCCGCTTCTGCCAGGCTGTGCCTGACTCCAAGGGCCTGAAGTAGCTGCGTTTTATGTTTTAGGGCCTTCTCATGTTCATCTCCTCAAGCTCACAGAAGTGGTACATCATCCATAGTTTACAGATCAGGGCACTGGCTCTGAGAGGTGAGGAAGACTGCTCAAACCCACGTGATCACCCTGCCTGAACTCAGGCTTGAAGTCTCCTGATGACTCTAAAGCTTCCCATCTGAACTGCCATGCTGACCCGTCCTCTGCCAGAAATGATTCTTGCTCTCTTACACTCTCGCCCTCTTGCACTCTCTGGGTCTCTGCCTCTGTGTTTCTATACGGATGGTATCTCTTCTCTGGCCATGTGTGTCTTTTTTATGCTTCTGCCTCCCTGTGTTTCTGTGTATCTCTGTCTCTGACACTCTGTCTCTTGCTCTGTGTGAATCTGACCCCCTTTCCCACACTCTCTGTCTGTCTGTCTCTTCTGTTGCTCCCTGTGACTGTTTCTCTCTCAGGGACATGTTTTTCCCCTCCTTTCCCACCCCTGCCCCTGCAGCACACCAGACTATACCTGTATCTTTGTCTGACCATGTTCCTTAGAAACATACACAGGGATCGCCTGTTCTGTTAGCAGTTGTGTCTCAAACTCCCAGAAACACACAACATAGATGATGAATATATTCTTGTTGAAGGAGTAACTGTTGAACACACTGAAAAGGGAGAATGAAAGACTCCTAACACTGGGAAGGACAGTGGGGTCTTTCCTAGAGGCAGCTGGAAACTAGGAATGGGAAGGAAAGAAAAACCAGGCAAAGGAAAGAAGTCTAAAGCCAAACTTTGCAGCCTTTGTCTTACAATTCAGAGATTCATCAAAACATTTTTATCATGCATGTCCACTGGCAGGGTCCAGGGGTCTAATAGATTAACATCACGTGCAGCATAGCAGTCAAAAACTGCCACCAGGGAAGATGTGGGTTCAAATTCTTGCTCCCCTCATCCCTCAGCCTCCCTGAGCCCCATCCATCTCCTTGCCAGTCAAGTAGGAGCTAGAACAGGGTCCGGCGAGTGCAGGAAATGCTCATAGGGACACATGTTCCTTCATATGACAGATGAGGAACCAGAGAGGGAAACGGATGTGCTGTGGGCCACACAGCCAAGAACAAGGCCTCCTTCCACCCTAGGCCAGTCGATAGCTCTGACACCTGCAAAGGAGAGTTGCAGCCTGCAGTGACCCTGGGAGCTTGGAGCAGCCTTTGAAGCTGGAGTGACCACTGGGCGGGAATCTGAGAGAGAGCAGCCCTGCCATGTCAGGGCCAACCCTCTGCTCTGTTCCACCCCCGAAACGGTCCTGACCCTCAGGCCCGCAGTCGCTGCCTTTCTTCAGCCCCAGAGCCACCCCAGAGGCAGGCAGGCAGGCAGGCAGGCACAGGTCCTGGAGCCTCCACCGGGGTGATGGGAAACCTGGATTGGCCTCAAGCACTAGCTTTGGAGCTGTGAGTGGTCTAGAGAGAAAGCCACAACAACACTCCCTAAGAACAACAGCCAGCTGCCTCTCTAGAGCCCCAAGCCCCAGTCTCCCCACATGCAAACATATGGGCAGCATCTGAAAATCTCTAAAATCCCATGGGCACTGACCCTGGAGAGGCAGGAGAAGCTGCCTGGGCAAAAGGGGTGGACAACGGGGAGTGCAGACTCCTATGGGAAAATCACATGAGGAAAACAGAACAGCAGATGTTTTCATTAAAGCAAAATAGCTTGTTAGGGTCAAAAGACACTATTTGTAAACTATGGAAACGTAGGTTGGTAGAAAAACCACCAAATATGAAATCACTTTGGAACTTTTCCTATAAGGAGAAACCAGGCCAGCAGCATAGCAGGGGAAATGTGTGTGGCTAAGACAAAGCCCTCACTAGCCATCAGCCACTCACTGGGCCTCTCCAAGGCCAGGCGAGGCCCAGAGCAGGTTGGCCACAGGGGGGGTTTTCGGCCTGGCTCTGGCATCTGCTTTCCTGCCCACCCTTGAGGGCCAGACGTTCGTGACCTCCTAGCTGCAGAATGCACTCACAGGGTATGACTTCTGGGATTTGAGAATGACACAGCTCAGCAAGCAGCCTCAGTAGGAGGAGGGGGCCTGCATCTCTTCTCAAGGGTCTATTAACTAACTCCCATAATCCTGTGAATTAGGCAGAGTGTCATGTTGTCATCTGCCTCCATGAGGTGTTACGGAGATTAACTGGAATTAAAGAGTTCAACATATGAAAAAATGCTCATCATCACTGGTCATCAGAGAAATGCAAATCAAAACAACATTGAGATACCATCTCACGCCAGTTAGAATGGCAATCATTAAAAAATCTGGAGACAACAGAGGCTGGAGAGGATGTGGAGAAATAGGAACACTTTTGCACTGTTGGTGGGAGTGTAAATTAGTTCAACCATTGTGGAAGACAGTGTGGCGATTCCTCAAGGACCTAGAAATAGAAATTCCATTTGACCCAGCAATCCCATTACTGGGTATATATCTAAAGGATTACAAATCGTTCTACTATAAGGACACGTGCACACGAATGTTCATTGCAGCACTGTTTACAATAGCAAAGACCTGGAACCAACCCAAATGCCCATCGATGATTGACTGGACAGGGAAAATGTGGCACATATACACCATGGAATATTATGCAGCCATCAAAAACGATGAGTTTGGGTCCTTTGTAGGGACATGGATGAACCTGGAAACCATCATTCTCAGCAAACTGACAGAAGAGCAGAAGATCAAACACCACATGTTCTCACTCATAGGCAGGTGTTGAACAATGAGAACACATGGACACAGGGAGGGGAGCACTATACACTGGGGTCAGTTGGGGGGAAATAGGGGAGGGACGGTGGGGGGGTGGGGAGCTGGGGAGAGATAACAAGGGGAGAAATGCCACATGTAGGTGATGGGGAGGAAGGCAGCAAATCACACTGCCACGTGTGTACCTATGCAACAATTTTGCATGTTCTTCACATGTACCCCAAAACCTAAAATACAATAAAATAAATAAATGGGGAAAAAAAAAGAGTTCAGCACAGGGCATGGCACACATCAAATGCAAAATAAATGCTGGCTGTTATGATTATTGAAACAACTACAGCCTGAACCCTCTTCTCAGGCTGATGCTTAAACTCAGTTGTGGGTCAAAAGAGTTAGCAGGTTTCATCCAGGTGTGCTCCACTGCTCACAACACACCCTCAGACAAATGGATTCACCTTTCTGGGCCTCCTCTGTCCCAGGGGCACAAATTCCTGCCCACCTGCTTGGGGTCCTTGGGGCTCAAAGAGGCCTGACCTTATTCTTCTGAACTGCCCGACAGGTGCTGAGGGCGAGTGGTGAGAGTTGGAAGAACAGAGCTTCAGTGGAGGCCAGCCCAGGAGAGGGAAGAGGAGGTGGATGAAGGAAAGACGCCACCAGCCAAGCCCTACTCAGGTGCCTTTCCTCCCTTTCCCATCAATAGTTCTGAATGCTAGCTGAGTGCCAGGCACCAGGAGTGCAGAGTAAGTCAAGCAGGCTGTGCCCTCTTGGAGCTCAAAATCTGCTTTCCTAAATCTGGGAAGGAATCTGGCAAAGGGTTTTCACTCATCCCTTGGGTCTCTCCAGCTTGAAGATAAGTCTAACACCTCTGTCTTGACCATCTGTCACCTGGTACAGGCCAGAGCCACAGATATCCCAAAAGGGTTTGGCACTGACCAGTTTGTTAGCTAGAGAGGCAGCTAAGGCCTCTGAGCAGAAGGCTTTGAGAAGTTACAGCTGAGCCACGCATCCCCACCCACTTCATATAAAGCTTCCCTCCCAAATGGTGATGCCCAGCTGAGCCAGCCATCTTACCCAAAAACCTGACTCCCAGTGGTTCCCAGGGATTATCCAGCAGTTGCCCACACCACTTAACACCCCTGGAGGGACTATCCTCTCTTTGCCTAACTGAAGAAGGTCTTTGTGGGTCTGGCACTCTATTGGGGCCAGTGATGGAAACCAAGGAACCTAGACCTTGTACAGTAGATCTTAAAAAATTTTTAAATCCAAAGACATACAGGAATAAGTCTGTCCTTTTCATGTCTGAGATATAGCAGAGAGACTGGACTACAGAAAAGAAATACTGAGAAAAGTTTACACAGTTCAGCTTTTATTAAAATTAAAGGATGGGAAATTAGAACATGATTCCTGTTAAAATAATACATTTGAGGAAATGTTTATTCAGCTATCGCTGTAACTGATCAAGCATGTGACAAGGATTCTTTTACAAGATATACAGTCCCTAACAGCCATGCAGAGAACACCAGATCGAGAATCTTACCTATGCAATATGTTGTACGGGGTGTCAGTGATCAAGTCTGACTGCCTATGACAACCACAGGGACAGAACACCCACACAGACATAAACATTCAATGTCTTCAGTTTTCTTTCAAAGAAAGTATTCTACATGTAATATGCAAATCAAAGAAGAAGTCCAACAAGGGTCCTCTATTGCCACTGAAAACGGGGGGATGGGGGGAGTGAATAATTTACAATCTCAAAACCAAACATGGCAATAGGTCAATTTGATGCTGCAAATGCCACAGTCCTGTGCATTCCTGCCATGGCTGATGCTATATCCATGAGTCACTGAGACCCGTGACGAAGGCTGCACAGGGGCTATGAGACTGTGATTATCCACTACAGAAGAAATCTCTTCCATTCCCAAATGCTGGAAGTGCTGCTGGCTCTCCTGCTTGGTCAGGAGAAACACAGCACAGCTGAACATGAGGGGCTTAGGACTCTAAATAGTGCAAACACTTAAAAATACATTCTAACCTCCTTGCTTCTCCAGGCAAACAGAGCCTTAAAAACTCCAACTAAGTGGAATATGAGTTTGCTCAACCGCCCAGCTTCATCCAGCTAGGTGCAAATGGGGAGCGTGGAGGCAATTTAAATGGCACCTGTCCCAACAATAATGATAAATTTTAAAAACCATAATGCTAATGGCAGATAAATACACAAAACAGAACCTGGGGCACAGACACAGATCAAGAAGCAAGTTGTAAGTGTAGTGTGAGCATCTGCAAAGCACATGCCTGACACATTCTTAGCGGGGATCATGAGGACTGACCCCCACTTTTAAAGTTTACAGACAAGATGCTCCCAAAAAGGGCATCATCCAGCAGCAAAGGCCTCAAGCTAATGGAAGCTTCAGATGAACAAGGAGACAGAAGAGAATAAGGAATGGTCAGCTGGACGTAGGATGCTATGGGAGTATGTGCTGGGGGGCAGGCCTTTCCCTGGGGCTTCTCCATGCCACAGGGTGCCAGGCTCAGTGCCACTCAGTGGGAGCCTCACCCCCACAGAAAACAGACTAAAAAAAAAAAAAAAGAAAATCAATACAGATGGGCAAGTGCTGAGTCGAGCTTAACATCAGTCCCTAGCAATTCAAGAAACACCAGCAACTGTGTTTTAAAATTCAGCAGACTCCCTTGAATATGGTATTTTTTAAAAATGGCTCATCTACCTGGAGCTACTGAAAAATACGTTTCTGGAGGATGAGAAAAAGGAGGAGAGCTACAGGCATGAACTATGAGAGTGAATGGTGCAAAGAATATAACATTTCATTATCATGGACAATAAAAAGCGATTCAAATATCTTGAAAAAAAATCTTATAAAAATATCTACATTAAAATTTTAGCCTAAAAGCTATAGCTTCAATTTTATAAAAAGGCCATCTTTGAAAGGATCTGGCTCAGAAATATACAAACATTACACAACAGATATCAAAGTAAGACAGCTCAAAAGCATCTTAGGGGATATTGCAACTGGCTTGTTGGGAAATAGAATTAAGTATTCTTATTGCATAGCAGAAAATGAGGTCACTTTCATTTGCATAATACTGCAACTTTGTAGATGGAGAGATGTCATTGGGTACTTAGGAGAAATCACTTTGGAATTCAGAATCTGACTTCTACATTGTTTAAATTAGTATCCAGGTGGCATCTCGGCTGCTTCTAACCTTGGGCCTCAATTCCATTTCACCACCGCAATCAGATGACAGATACTCCACTGGCAAAGCTGCATTCACAAGCAGCCGTGGCCACCCTAAGGGGGGCAGGAAAAGGCTTCGTCTACCATGTGACCAACACAAACTAGAAAATAGCCTGCTGTGTCCACTGTGGAAAGAGAATCGTACCTGGCGATGAAGAGATAGCAGGTTTTGGGTGGCATCTGTGGGCAGCTAGAGCAGATTGGCTTTGGTGATGACGTACCAGTGTTCTGGTCCCCGTGAGAAAGGACACACGAGGGTGAAATGCAAACAGCCTCAGCAGCGCACTCAGCAGAGGCAGTGCTTTATAGGAAGGAAGGCGTGAGGTGAAACCAACTGCAAAAATCCAAAAGCAGAAAACATGACTGGCTAGCTTTCAGTGGAGGGAGCCTTCCTCGGGAAGATGACACATAAAAAATAACCTCTCCAGCATGAAAATCTAGCTTCTCAGTGGTGGGGAAGGGCAGGGAATTCACCTATCACCTGAAATTGAGAGCTTCTGTGACTGGCATTCATCAGATCCCAACCCCAACCTCATCCCCATCACACAGACACACCCAAACGAGTCTCAAAATTTCTTCAGAGCAGGAGAAAGGACATTTAGAACAAAAAGCTTAACCCATCAGCTTCCAACCCACAGCCAGGTCGAGTTCAGAAGCCACAGTCATTCCCACTCAACTAAAGCATGCCTTGCTTCCTTTGGAGACATTTCTTCCAGGTCCACCAAAGCTGGATACTGTAGCCTCTTCCGAAGGCTTCTAAAAATTCTGGGCAACTTGTTGTTCTCCAAGCATCTTGTTGAAGTAACATGTGCTTAACATCAGAAAGAGAAGTTTTGTCTTTAGGAGAGTTGCACATTTAGGGCATAATAAATATATAGTAAATGCACAAAGTGGCCCACTGGCTGGGAAGACTCCTGGGTTTCTCACTGCAGGGGATAGGGGATGCCAACCTCCCGCAGTGCCTGCTTGAAAGTAGCCCAGTCGTATCGGAAGTCCAATATCAACATTTATGCAGTTCCTTGGCTTCCTGTAGGTGGATTCTGACATTAAGGAGGGTGTCCCAGACTGCAAGGTATGAGACTAATCTCCAGACACAAGACTTCCCCTGCTTATGCCACAAATTCCAGCATAAGCAATTTGCTAATTTAGGAACAGCACAACTTTTAAGGTTTTTTTAAATACAAATTACTCCATACACCTTCAAATGCCCACCCCTCAAGATGCCTGAAGTTCTATCATTAATAATTTTTACCTGTGAATTAGCAAAGCTCTCATCAAGCTCTTTTTTTAAAATGCAAGCACCCCTTAGGAGGCCTCAAATCCAGGGCCCACTGATTATCTCCTACCCCACGGGGAAAGTAGGAGTGGAGGTCCTTAGGGGTTGGGGAGAGGGTGCACACCCTGGAATACGGGGAAAGCACAGGAAAAAGAAGACAAGGACATAAGACAGACTTGACCACTGTCACAAAGCGCCAAGGGCCAGCTCTAGTGGTATATTCCTTTGAAGTCAAACAACGTCCATCTGAATCACACACAACCCTATCTAACACAGGGACAAATCTATCTTTGGGTTTGGAGGAGGGTGACCTCTTATTTATCCTCCAAACCAGACACTTCTGAGAGTAAAATGGGGTGCTGTGAATAATTAAGCTTGGATAATAAGTATAAATGGGGACTGTCCTGTCCTGGGAAAACCTAAAAGTAGGACCCTTCTCTGAGACCGTTATAGGCAGGAGCTGAATCCTTACCACTTTGGTTTTTTGTTTGTTTTTTTCCTGTTTATTTTTTTTCCAGTGTGTTACCGGAGGCTTCTCTGAAGAGCTAGTTTTCCCAGCTAAAGAGACATCACATCTCCCAGGCCTGGAATCTATGGCATCAAAGACCAACAGCCTAGACATGAAGACTGGGCAGTTCTCATCTGCTTCCTAGAGGAGAACTCAAGGAAAAACAGCTGGCTGAGAATCACAGGGAACCCCACTTGTCCCTTATTCTAGCACACAGAGGAAGGACACGGTGCAGCTTTGAGAATTCTCCAGCTCTTCTGCAGACAAAGTCGCAGTGGTCAAGTAGATAAGTGGGCGTGGCCAGAGAACTGCCCCTCTCACTGGTTATTTCTGGACATTCCCAGAGTGTCCAACTGGACCTTCAGAAGAAAGCAGCTTTAGTAGTCTCAGGGTCCCCATGGGACAAATCCAAAAGAGATGTCGCTGAGATTTGATTCTTAACATAGTGAAAGGATCAGTAGTAAAGAAATCCAGTAGACTGTCACACACGCTCACCACCCAACTTAGAGAAACACCGTGTTCTGCACACACACACACACACACACACACACACACACACGTTCCAGGTTCTGTGTTCTCCCTGTAGAAATACCAAAACAAAGCCCAAAGGTGCTGCCTGGGGCTGTCAGGAACCCCCTGCTCAGGGCATAGGCCAAAGCACCTCAGGGAAGCAGGGGGTGAGTAACGGTGTCCACACGGTGACGAACGACACCAGTCTGCCAAGTCAGAGGAGAGCAGTTCTCACAGCAGCACAGACCCTGCCCAGTGAGTTGAATCCAGTCAGTCACCACGGTCCTACTGTTCAGAGTCACAAGCAGCACCTGCTCCTTCCTCCACCTCCTGGCAGTGGGAATTTGGGTCACAAGGACTTGTGAATCACGGCAACACCTAATAAGAAACAGGGAGAAAGTTACCATCTTAGCTTCTCCAAAGCTACTCAGACTCCCAGTGAGTTCATGAATCTAAGAAGTCACAACGCAAGGGAAATGGGTACATTTTTATCCTAATATTGAAGTGTCTGTGGTCTCAGGCTGCTAGCAGCTGGCTGTTCCCCACTCCAACAGCCAAGTCCTGGCAAGACACTTGAACCTATGAGCACAGTCCCTCAAATACCACTGGCTAGTGGCCTCACCCTGTGTCACCACATGGACTCACTGTGGTGACTCCTGTCCCCAGCTCTAGCAGCCACCTCAACAATGTTTAGTGCCCAGGGGCAGCTACGCAGTTCTAAATTTGAATCACTTTAAGAGAAGCGATGGGTGATTCATCTCTACTTTTAGAAGACATCTCTACTTTTACCAAGTGGAAAGTACAGTAGACTGCCTTCGTGGGAGCAAGAAAGACTGAATTCCAATCCTAGCTCTGCCACCAGTCAACCTGCACTGTGGCCTTTAGCAAGTTCTTTGACCTCGTTATGCTCAGTGCCCACACAAATGTCATCTAACAGACCCTGCCAGTGTGACAATCTCGACTTTGATAAATGCTCCAGACATGTATGCTGTGTTACTGTTTTAGTCCAGGTGAACCATGGTCAGCACCTAACCATAAATCCACGCATGACCCAAAATCTCACTGTAAGGGACCGAGGCTACATGGCAGATGCCACATACTGATTCCATCGGCGTCCTTCCTACTTGCTATCCTCTACTACAGCTACCAGCTCCAGCTGCAAGCTCAGCTGCCCAGACTGCCTGGCAGCTAGGCGTGCCATGTGACCCAGCGCTGGCCAATAAGACTATAAAGGCAAGTGTGCCAGTGTTGCAACGCTGGCTTTGTTCTTGTTGTGCCCAGAATGCTCAAGCAAGGCCAAGGGGAGGCAACAGACTTTGATAAAGCTGGCAGAACAGAAGAGAGGAGAAACTTGGTTCTTCAACGTCAGTCTGAGCCCCCAGGCCAATCTTTTTACCAGAAACAAATCCACTCACTTTTTGTATTTAGGAAAGTATCTGTCAGGGTTTCTGGTGCCTGTTGCTAAATGAAATCCTAACTTACAGGTACCTACAGGCAGGATGGTTCCTGAAGCCTTATTTTTAACATAGTCCCACAACTATAAAATGTTCTGGTTGAAGATGACATTGACAGAACATGGCTAAAAGCAAGCCAGGATACCCCATTGGAGATGTTCTGCTAAGACATCTATATTCTGTTCATTCCTGGCTAAAGGCGCAGACATAGAGGCTTCGAGGGAGGCAGAGCCTGAGTCCAGACCAAATGCCTGATCTTGACAGCATCATACTTGAATCTCAGACATCTCTTTCAGAAGGTAGCTTTTTTTTTTTTTGAAAGCAGGCTCCCGTGTTGCTTTTTCATATACCCTTTATCTTGATTATAAAAGTAATATATTCTCATTATGGGAAATCTGGAAAATGCAGAAGAACACAAAGAGAAAAGCTTTAATCCCTTCACACAAAGAAAACCACCACTGTGTTTTTGGAATACTTTCTAGCATCCGATAATAATCACAATCATTTGCTGCATGGTGTCGAGTGCCAGGCAGGTATCGTGCTTGGCTCTTCACATGTATTACTGCATTTCATTCTCACAGCAGCTCTAAAAGGCTTAGTCTAATTTTATTCCCATTTTACAAATAAGACAACAGGGGTTCAGTATGATAGAATACATGGCCCAGAGACTCAGGGCTAGTGGCAGAGCTGGGATTCAGATTCATATCTGACTCTAATATCCATTTGTAGAAGCAGCAGCTACTCAACCTCCACTCCAATACCCCACCAACGCAGGACTACATACATGAATGAGCTCACACAGGCTATTACAAATGTTTTCTCATAACGTTAAAAATCCATACACTATACAACTATCCCATAGATTATTAGCTATTTCCCTCATGCCAGACATTAATTCTCAGATTTTAGCTATTATGATTAAGGCCCCAATAAATAACTTTGTCCATAAATCTTTGCATTTTGGAGGATTTCCTTAGATTTTAAGATAATAGACCCACTCAGTAAGTGGGTTTGAACACAAAATTGCAGGTTTGCTTGCCTTCTGCCTACCTACTTCTCAAGTGGGCAGACAATGAAGAAAGGGACATGAAATATTCAGCATATATATGAAATTCTAACCACCTACACTTAACTCTTCCCCTCTCATTAAGGCACACATGGAGTCAAGGGAGGATCCCTCACTTACCTCCCTCATCCCATAACAAAATTACTCCAGGACTAAACTTCTTCTAAAATGTTTTATACTAAGCCAAGGAAAGCATTATGAGGTGAAAAAAAGCTCTAAAGGAAGTAAAAAGTTAAAGTCCATTGTCACAGATGTCTTACATTGAAAGAATGTGCTGCAGGCTGGGCATGGTGGCTCACACCTGTAATCCCAGCACTTTGGGAGGCCAAGGTAGGAGGATCACAAGATCAGGAGATCAAGACCATCCTGGCCAACATGGCAAAACCTCATCTCTACTAAAAATACAAAAATCATCCAGGTATGGTGATGGGCACCTGTAGTCCCAGCTACTCAGGAGGCTGAGACAGGAGAATCACTTGAACCCAGGAGGTGGAGGCTGCAGTGAGCTGAGACAGCACCACTGCACTTCAGCCTGGGTGACAGAGTAAGACTGTCTAAAAAAAAAGAAGAATGTGCTACAAACTCCTTCGAATCTGCACAACATGCCCTTTCTTTGCAGTCAAACAAGATGGAATGACTGACCTTTGTAATGCAAAATGGGAAGAAGAATATTCCTGGAGTCGTGGTATGGATTAAACAAGATAATGACTATAAAATACTTTGGATAATGTCTGGTATGTTCCGTGTGCTGGATAAATAATGTTATCTCTACTCCAGGTTTTAGAAAACCAGATACAAGGAACTGAACTACACCACAGATATATATTTGCTCATCTCCCCATGGACCCAACCTTAGCAGTACCAACTCTGATGCCACCCCGGCCCCTGCACCTCACCAAACCCCTCACACACACTCCCCAAGAAGAAGCTTCCACACCAGCCTGGTGCCTTACTCTAAGGCTTACCCTGAGCCAGGGTAGCATAAAAGGCATGGACTTAGAACTCTGGGTTTGAACTCTGACTTTGCCATTTATTAGCTATGTGGCCTTTGGCAAGTTACTTAAACTCTCTGAACCTCAGTTTCATCATCCATAAAATGGACGGATACAGTCCCATTCAGCCTGAGAGTTGTTGAAAAGATGAGAAAGAACGCACACTCTGTTCCTAACACACTGCCCCTGGCATGGGCCAGGCACCCAGTAAAGGACAGCTATTTGTGTGTTTGTGATCCACCCTCAAAGTTTAATTGAGCCCCTCCCCTCCAGGAAGGGTTCCCTGGCTTTGCCAGTTCTCACCAGTCTTTTGTGTGCCAAAGCCTGTCTAGCGCGTGTCATTTAGAACGTGTATATACATCATCTTGTCTTCCCCCTGCTTTGTGTGGGCAGGTCTTACCCGTCAAATTCAACTCTGGACAGAGAGCATTGCATCTTATGCCATCTAGGAGCCTGGCACAAAGTAAACCAGGAATGCCAGCGAAATTCTAAACTCTCTTGTGACAACTCAGTTGGAAGTCTGTTATACATTCTGAGGCTACCTTCAGGTTCACAGGATCAGGGCAGGAGGCAATCGGTGCCAATTATCTGTATCTGTCATGAGCACAGAATGAAGGAGTGGTGGTCACAGAACCATTACCTGTCATGCCTGGAGGAGGCACTCAGGTCCAAGTTAAGCAAGCTCACATCCTCTCACCCACCAGCCCACCCAACCCTCATGCCCCCAGTGTGTTGGAGGTCTCGGGATGGGCAGAGAGATGGCACACACTGACCTGCATAGCTCCGCCCTGTGCTCATGTTGGTTGGAAGCAGCGTCCATTTGTCAGTTACAGGATTGTAGTACTCCACCGAAGCCAAGTTGCAGGATCCATCATCCCCTCCAACAACATACAGGAGCCCATTCACTGCACAGACCCCTGGGAGTCAAACAAAAGCCATAGGAGACATCAGAGCAAGTGCACCAAGAGATCAGAATTGAAAAAGAGACAAATCTCGATAGGCTGGGAGGCTCTTTTCCTCCCTTTACAACAGAGATTTAACTCTGCAGGTCTGAGTTTGCTTAGTGGAAGAAAATATGACAACAGCCACTGGGCTCCAAGGATCCTTCTTCCTAACAAGATCATTTATCTGGCCAGGGAGTTTTTGTTACTTACAATGCATATGCTCCCTGCCACACTCACACCTACACAGTAAGTATGTAGGGCCTATGGGCACAGACCCCTCTCTACTGGAAAGGTGTATACAGACCTCCTGTGCCCAGCCTGAGCTAGGGAATAAGACAATTCAGGGGACTTCATGCATGCTGCTACTTCTCTGCCGCTACGTTTTTCCCTGATAAGCCCCATGTTATATCCATGCTGTGTGATGCTGATGGTTATGTTTGTAATCCCTTTATAAGACTTGGGTCTAATTCACATACAGCTCCCAGGGATGAGGCACAGCTCCCACCCTGATCTCAGAGTGAGATGGATTTTGGGCAAGGTCTCATGCAGCAAGGTCTAAGGCATAAGAAAACATAATTAGTTATTGTTCATTAAGACTTTGAAGGGCCATAGTCCAGTACATTGTGTATTTTTTCAAAATTTGATTAAGGGATTGGTGATACTCCAAAAAGCCGTACTTATCAATGTTGCTGAAGGTAGTCTCAGAGGATAAAATGGACCACCTTCCTGGATGGCATCTAAAATACATGTGCTCCCTCTGATTTAAAAATTCCACTTCTGGCCAGGCACAGTGCCTCATACCTATAATCCCAGCACTTTGGGAGGCCAAGGCAGATGGATCACTTGAGCCCAGGAGTTCAAGGTCAACCTGGGCAACCTGGTGAAACCCTGTCTCTACAAAAAAATACAAAAATTGCCAGGCATGATGGTGTATACCTATGGTCCCAACTACTCAGGAGGCTGAGGTGGGAGGATCTGCTGAACCCAGGAAGTGGAGTTGCAGTGAGTCAAGATTATGCCACTGCAATCTAGCCTGAGTGACAGAGTAAGACTTTGTCCGAAAAAAAAAAAATTACTTCTGGTCTTTTAAAGAAATGATTTTAAATGTGTGCACTCATTTAGCTACAAGGACCATTTATAGTAACTAAAGTATTACTTAGAGTACAGAAAAGATGGAAATAACCTGTGTCCAATAGTAGATTGGTTGTTTAAATTATGCTACAGTCATTTAAAATATCACATAAATAAGTTTAGTGTTGTAATGAAATGTTCATGAAAGTTATAAAGTGAGTTTTTTAAAAAACAGGTTATAAAATAGTGTTATAGTGTAATTCCATTTTTGTTATTAAAAAATAGAAATATCTATAAATTTTTTACAAACACACATTTACATCTAAACTTAATTCTCAGGTTCTAGATAGCTGCTTATAAGGGTCCTGTAATTTCTTGCTCTTGTGGCTTAAAGCCAAATGACAACTTCTATCATGGCAGGCTTAGGCAATGAGCAAATTAATAAATTATTCCTCCAACCCCCAGTTACACTTCCAAGTTGGCCATGAATGGGTGTGGCAAACAGGTAATACGAGAATAATGGAAATGAATCTGCCTATGTCACCTGTGCGTCTTTCCAGCCTGGGAAGCTGGGCTAAGCCAACACTTTCCTAGAGCAAAGAGGCATGAAGGTCCACTGGCGCAGTACACGACCCACAAGGCAACACTCAAAAAGCTTAAAAGGGACCTCATGCTCCAGGAATCATACCTAGATACTCTACAGTAAATCATTCCTACAGGAAGGAACAGGGGATGAGATGGAAAGGAGAGACAGGAATAGGAAGAAAGCAATAAGGAAAGGAGAGCTGATCAAGAGTATGACTATCCCTGCAAGGAGGGAGCCTGGTCCTAGCCAGGCACTGCTAGAGAAAAGAACCAAGTGCCATCGTCTGGCCCTGAGCTGAGCTACCTACCAAAGCTGTTGGGGGTGGGGGGTGGGGACACTGATGACAACCAGAGGACTTTTCTAAGTCTGTGCTCATCTGTGTGCAGTAAAAGTCATCACCTTTCCCTGGTGAGAAAGGGGCTCCCCTGCATCTAGGTTGCAGGATCTGCAGCTAGCTTTTTGAGGGAGTCTCAACTTCTCCCCTCCTCTAACCAAGAGCCCAACCGGCAAATGGACACTCCTTGTTCAGGATACAAGCTCAGCTCCAGACCCTGGGAATCTCCCCACTGTTTAGAGCCAGTGTCTTCAGGAAGAAACGGCACATGACCCCCAAAGGGGAGATGGAGAGAGCAGTCATTACCTGCATTGCGCCGGCACATGTTCATGTCTGCCACTTGCTTCCAGGTATTTGTTCCAGGATCGTAAACTTCAACGCTCTTCCTCACCAAAGGCCCGTCGTGCCCACCTGTGGCATACAGCTGTCCGCTGAGCACTCCAACACCTGTTGAAAGGCAAACACAGTGTCCCAGCCTCAGGCTGACTACAGTAATCAGAAATCAGAAGGCCTGGCATCCAGTCCTGGACAGTCCTGACCCGTGAGGTGACTTGGGGAGTGCCATTTTGTCTCCCTGAACCTCAGTGTCCTCATCTGTAAAACAAATATAATGACACCCCGCCTGCCTCCTATAAGACTGGCAAGCTCAAAACTTTGAAATATAAAGCAAATGTGACCCAAATTCTATTTTTTAAAAACATATACAGGTATTGATCAACTTACGACCTATGCAACTTACGACCATTCGACTTTACGACCACAATCGCTAGCCACGACTGCTCCACTGTAGATTTTTGGAAACACTACAACATTTTGATGTGTATCAAGAATATCGCTACCACCTGGGAGACTGTGACGACAAAGTGCATGAATGGCATCTGGAAAAATTGTGTTAAGCGCTATGTTAATGATTTTGACGGATTTGACAGTGAACATGAACTTGAAACGATTCAGGAAAAATTGGTAAAACTCGCTAAAGACCTTTCTTTGGAGTGTGAAATGGAAGATGTCAAAGAGTTGCTAGACAAAGAATCTGGAGAACTTACAAATGAAGAGCTAATCGAACTGGAAGAAGAAAGAGTGGTGGAAGAAGAAAGAAGAGAAGCAGAGAAAGAAGAGAAGGAGCCAGAAAGAAAGTTCACCACTAAGGGATTATCACAGGGTTTATCTTTACTGAATAAACTTCTCATACATTTTGAAGCAATGGACCCAAACATCGAATGATTTGCAAGGATTGAACGGATGGCGCACGATGTGTTTCGTCCGTATCGTGAAATTTATGAAGAAAAAAAGAAACATACAATTCAGACAAAGCTCACCATGTTTATGAAAAAACCAACTCCGGTAACCCCAACTGCTGCCTCAGATGACGAATCAACGATCCGCAGCCAAGCACCAGCGGCCAATAAAATGTTTCATACATGTTTATATATTTTGATATGTTTTGCAATTGGGAAAATGTTTCCTATGGTATTTTTTACACCTGTATTTTGTATTTTTGTATGTACCTGTATTTTGTAATTTTGTATGTTTTGCAAATATTAAACCAGTTGTACTGGTAATGCAGTGTTTTACTTAAACCTGACGAATGTAAAAATAAGAAACAAAATGGTGTAGAGGTGATACAAATGGCATAAAATGAACAAAGAAAATTATGATATATAACAATTATGAAAGAAAATTATAAAATATGACTTAAAGATTTTTATAACATCATTTCACAGTACTGTACATATAGCCTACTCAACTTACGACCAAATCATGTCACGACCGGTCTGTCGGAACCAATCGTGGTCGTAAGTCGAGCACTAGCTGTATATATATATATATATATATATGAATATATACGTACATATATACGGAAGGGGATGTTCCTAGGCGAAGAAAAAAGACAAAAAAGATTGAATGAAATCCATAAAAATATTAAGAATAATTATTTCTGAGTGGTAACATACATTTTCCTTTTTTGCCTATCTATATTGCCTAGTTTTCCTACAATGTTGTATTACTTATATTACTCAGCCTTATATTAGTTGAGTAAAAAGAGTAAAAAATTAAAACTAGCCACACAGCAAAGTGCTGAAATTATAATCAGGGAGGTCTCCTGCTGGTTGTGTCCGCAGAAGCTGCTCTTTCTGCCCACTTCTCTCCTCCTAGGCTGCAGAGGGCATCGTTAGATCACTCACCGTGTTGATCGTCCTGAGCTGAATGCTAGAATTGCTTTGTTTACAGATTTCAGTGTCATCTTTGAAGATTCTTTCATCAAGAAGATGAAAGCCATAAAGAAGGAAGACAGCACAGTATCTAGAAAGTGTAACTTGGGCTGGGCGTGGTGGCTCACACCTGTAATCCCAGTACGTTGGGAGGCAGAGGCGGGCGGATCACAAGGCCAGGAGATCGAGACCATCCTGGCCAACATGGTGAAACCTCAACCCTACTAAAAATACAAAAATTAGCTGGGCATGGTGGCATGTACCTGTAGTCCCAGCTATTCAGGAGGCTGAGGCAGGAGAATCGCTTGAACCCAGGAGGCAGAGGTTGCGTTGGACTGAGATCACGCCACTGCGCTCCAACCTGATGGTAGAGCAAGACTCTGTCTCAAAAAGAAATAAGAAAGAAGAAAGAAAGAAA